AAAAGAAAATGAAAGGTTAATAGGTCTTTTATCCCCTTCATGATATTTCTCTCTTTTCAAAGAGTTGTTTGAGTTGTTTTAGTAATTAAAGAATTTTCCAAAGTTGTTTTAGTAATTTTCCCTTTCATTTATTGTGTTTTAAAAAAACCTACAAACAGAAACTTGCACCTTCCGAATTACGAACATGAAACATGACAATCCATCAATCTACCGAATTAAATGATATTATTAGCGGCCGCAAGCCAATGCTTGATGAGCTTGGTCTTAGGGCCGGTTATGGCGTGCTTGGCCATTTGGTAGTAGGTGGGATAATGAATATGCATTTTATCCAAATAAGGAAAAATGGAGAATGATAAAGAAACATGTGTCCATTTCGGAACCGAAGAGTCCTTGGGCACAACAAAAAAATCTAGAAATCCATTCTTGTCAAGCACTTTAATCTGATTTTCTTTGTAAGAATGGAAAATCTTCCAAGTCTCGTTGCACCAAAAAGCACAAAAAAAGTACCACAATCTATAGAGTCGTTTGGACCGATCTTGTAACATGGCTTATTAATTAACCCATCCCAAGAAACTGAGTGAAAGTGTCTGTCTGCTTCGTCACTCCATTATAACTCTCACTTAACACTCAGTCCAATGCCGACTCCAAAACCATATTTTGTCACTTAACAGTCAATCCGACTATTACATGCATTGATTAAGTTTCAAAAGTTAAAAATCACTCTTTGTACGTTAATCTATTATGGGCTTTAATGTAATAATTACTGTAATTTAAATGTGATAACTTTGTTATCAATTTAGACTTAGAGTTGTCCTTTGGTTATAGAGTTGTCCTTTGGTTATGTATAACAAATTTCTGCAGCCAAATACAACATTAGTTCTAAACAGTGCAAGCAAATTACTCAATGTTGTAACGAATCTTGGCTATAAAAATGCACATGTACTCAATTACTCTTTTCTCTCAATAACTTAGTTGTTTTTCTGCAAAATTGTTTGGGTTAGTACGTACAAAATTGTCAAGTGCACAATAAATATAAATAAAAAACCCTAATTTGGAGCATCTTGTTTCTCGACAGGAACTAGTGCAGAAACCTTCCTCCTATTGACTCGAGGGCAGTTGGTGGTCACAGAGCTGTTATGTGATGTTCCCGCAACACTAGTTCGATTTCGTCTTTGTTTCTTCTCCTTTACATTGTCTTCAGTCTCATTCTCTTGTCTACATACATCTCCAGAGCATCTTTCTAATCCTCCTTTTCTCCGCCTCTTTGGTTGTCTCTCTGTATCAGCGCAAA